AGGCAACATGTTTAAAGACCTAAACTGGCTTAATCACTCAAGTCATAAATGCTACGAAAAGAAGTAAAAGATGCATGAGATTTGATTTTTTTTTTTAAATGGTTAGTGCCCATTTTACACTCTTAACTCAAACTCCTTCATTTGAAGCTGGGATCCGAGAGCTCTAAACCATCAAACTTCTATGAACACAAGCTTTAACCTTTCCACCTCCAGACCGCATTTTTATTGGTTTGTTTCTATCTTAAGGATTGAGGAATTCACTTAAATATAGGTCAATAACATCAAACAATTAAATCCACTTAATTAAGTCATGCCCAACATAAGTGATAAGTCAATATGACCATATACTCAAATAATCAAATCTAACATGGATAAATACTCAAGTAAAAGCTCAACTTATGAGGTTGTTCAGATCTAGCTAAATCTATACTCAATTCAAACAAATGAACATCATTATAGGCAACAAGTTATTCGACTCTAACTAAACACTATTTTTTTCAATTTTTTTTTTTTTTTGCAGTTATACAGACCCGATCAGTAGTTAAAAACAAATATGTATTCCAATTATCCTACCCATGCCAAACAAACCATTACATTGTCTTCAATATAAAAACAAAAACAACCAACGTAAGAGAGTAAGGATCAGAAGCTTATCTAGATAGACAATGATAGATAGAAAGATCAAGCTGGTCTGGCTGGTGGATGCCATGACATCCACCATATTTTCTTGTTGTTAGGCTTTCATTTGCTGTTCCAAGAATTTAAAATAAATATTAGTGATAACATATAAAGTTTAAATATTTGCAATGAATTCATGCCAAGAAATATTGAAATCTAGATGCAACCTTAAGAATGTATATCACATCACTATAAGCTCAATAAAATACTAGGACGTTAACAATGAGTTTAAATTAAAATGACCCAATAAGAAACATGCCTGAGTTACTAATGTAAGTCTTAAAATATTGCCTAAAATGTGTTAAAAATCATTTAAATGCATTAGTTCCTATATTAATGCAATTCCAAAAACTACTTGTAAAGCATTAGTTAATCAAAATAAGTGAAAAGGGGTAGGAAAATGGGTTGCCTCCCATTAAGCTCTCAAAGAGCTCGACTTTTTGGGTGATATACTTATGGTGGTTTAAATTTAAATGTTTCACTTTTACACTCCTTAAAATTTCATGCCTTGCATTCTCTTTTAGCTCTCCAAACTTTGAACTATCTGTCCTTGTCTTTACCAATAATTCCTCCAAATTTTGGTTTTCTCTTCTGATAGTTTTGTTGAATGAATATTTCATTTTCATCAATACAATTACAATCATAGAGGTCTGATGGTTGTTAGGATGTATTATGTAATTTGAAAACTTCCTGTCCCTCATCAACTTTCAAGATTAGATCACATTTCTTCATATCGATCAAAAGTTCGACCTATTGCTAAGAATGATCACCTCAAGATTATTGGAATATCTCCGTCTTCTTCTATATCTAGAAAAAGAAATTTGTTGAGAATATCAATTTTCCAGCTTTGATGATTATATCCTCAACCTTATATTTGGATATTTGATGTTTCTATAGCCAGTTGCAATAACATCATCGTTTCTTTTGCTTCTCCTAATCCCAATTTTCTGAAAATAGATAGAGGCATTAAGTTAATACTTGTACTTGTATCGCATAAAGCATTAAAAGAACTATCTTTTCCAACTAAAATAGGTAAAGTGAAACTTCCTAGATCCTTGATTTTTGAGGTTTATTTTGTAATCTTGCACTGGTCTCCTCTATCAGTGCCATAGTTTGAATCCTAGAAACTTTCTCTTCTTTCATATCATGTCCTTAAAAAACCTTGCATAACTTGGAATCTGCCTTATCGTGTCTATAAATGGGATATTGATGTAGAGTTTTTTAGCATATCTAGAAATTTCTCAAACTTTGGTCTAGCTTGTGTTTCTTCAATCATTGTGGAAACGGGATGGGAGCTATATATTCTCTAATAGGATCGGCTACTTTAGCTCGTGAATTATCTGAATTCTCTTTCAAATTTGTCTCACTTGATTTGTTTAGACTCATTTACTTATTCCACCGGTCATTTGATAGTAATCTCAGGCAATTGTACTCCACTTCTTGTTGTGATTGCTTTCGTAGATGGATCCTCAATTATTTCATTCTCAAAAATACTTAGGGCCATTACTTGCTCTTTAGGATTAGTCTCTCAGTATTACTTGACAGGGTACCTTATGCTCTGCTTGATATAGCAAGTGCTATCTGTCTCATCTGAGTTTCCAAGTTCTTGATTGTAGCACTCTGATTTTGAAGGGTTGTCTTAGTCCTTCTCATGAATTGATTGTTTGCCTCTATGTAGTGCTTCGTCTTTTCCATAAATTTGCCTAACATTTCTTCTAATAGAATTCTATTTTCAGGTTGTTAGTGTAGCAACCCAACTCAAATGCACTGAGACATCACTAGAATAATTGAACTTAGTAATTAACTATACTTTTAGCGAAAAGTACAAAGATTTATTTTAAGAATTGATTTAAGATTTTTTTTTAACAATATATTTTTTCAAGCATATTACCTATTTTATTTCATGGACCGCGGCATGCATGTGCTTATCAAATAAATAAATGCACATCTTTAACAGTAAATAAAGCTAAACTGTTTTCTTTTTAGATTTCGTATGACAAGTGCCAAATTAAATTTGTTTACATAGTTATCAATCTCGAAGCTTTACGAAATTTTAAAATAATGTAGGAAACTCTTATATTATGACATATCCAAAAATGGACTTCTTTTAACAACATATAAGGCACTATAATATTTCTCAAAATCCTGCAGCAACTCGGTTTAGAAGATAAACCAGCATAGTTTACTTAAAATAGCATATAAAATTCTACAGATATTGAACTGACAAGATTTTAGGTTTGTTCAGTAGCTAATCCATGTGGTTATCAGACCCAATTGGTTTTGTCCAAGAATTCTAAGTAATGATTGAGTTACAAATTTTTAAAGTCAAAGCAGAAGTTGAAAATTTAAAAATAGCAACACTAAATCTTATCGCTTATATTTTTGACATGAACAGTAAATTACACATTAATTTCTATAAAACATAACTGCTTTTAAGTATAAATAATTCAAAAAAATCTTCTTAGAATAGTGCCACAAATAATATTCATAGAAATCCATTTATTTAAAGAAAAATACGTAAATGTTTCATAATCAAATAAAAACATTAAATCACTAGCTTCTCCATAGCATGTTGCATCTTTATCTACCATCATCCACACCCAAGCAAATCAAATCGATTCCACTATTATTAGAAACAAATAATGGAATAATTCTTTCATATTCATAGAAGATAGGGGACCTAATCACTTGGATAGAGTAAGTCTCGCTTGGGCTACTTTAGTGGTAAGGGAATTAATGCATGAGTTTAAAAAGTAATAGATTTCATTTGTGCATTTCATTATCAAACTGGAAAATTAAAATTATAGATTCATACCATCGCACGTAGATAGATTTTCAGCAAAATCCAATTTCTATAGAATTACCATAACACCTAAAGTCGGAGAATGATCATTCAAACTACAGTGGTACTGTATCTTCATACCCGAAGGCAGCAATTCATTCATACTTTTAACAAAAAAATCATAACTTGAAAATAAAATAATCACTTGCACCTCTACAAACCTTGTTTTTCTTGAATACAAAGGAACAAAATGTGTAAAATGCCTTTCCCGTTCAAAGCTTGCTATTCCCTTAAGCTTAACTTAACATAAAAAATATTTTTGAGAGAAAATAATAGTAAATTCAGATTTGAGAAGAGGTGTTGTGAAAAAGTGACTTCCGTCTTTTTGTAACCTTCTTTTTAGTGAAAAACTAAATTAGGGAGTTATATTATCATTAACCTTATTAAATTGAGTTTCTAACTAAGAATTTAAAGAGTTTTAAGCCCATAAAAAAGTAATTCATATAAAAAGTTTTATAGAATATTTACATAATCAAGAATAAAGGAAAATGAAGCACTCATATATTTTGTAGCCTATCTTTATGAATGCCCAAAAATAAATAATTATTCCATCCAGTTAACTTGATATAATTGTTCTTAATGTACAAAATGAAGAGTTTTTAACTCAAAAATAAAATTTTAAAAATATCTTGAAAAAAAAACCTATATGGTAAATCGAACCTGGGTTGCCTATATAGATAATCATTGTGACAACCTAGTTATTTATTAAATCCTTATAATCAAATTGACTTAAATGGGTTGAGCTTCTATGGCTTGTTTCTTAAATTGACTACATCAACCAACTTAAAAATATAAAATTCGAGACCTTACATCTCTCACACCTAAAAAAATCGTCTTCAAAATTACCTTAAATTAAACAAACAATGTCAAATATTTGGCTTTAATTTCTACTTCTATTTCCCAAGTGCTTTCTCTATCCCATGATGTCGCCACTGAACCTTGACTAATGAAATTTCTTTAGTTCTTAATTTTTGTACTTTCTATCCAAAACAGCAATTGGAACTTCTTCATAAGTCTTTCTGAACATCCAATATTTGATAATTCACTACGTGACTTGGATTGTACACATATTTTCTTATCATAGACAGGTAAAACACATCATACATGATAGAAAGTTCAGGTAATAGAGTTAACCGATACGCTATACTACCAACTTTCTCAAGAATTTCGAAAGGTCATATATAAAGTAGTCTCAACTTGCCTTTCTTACCAAACCTAAGAACACCTTTTCATAGGTGCCATTTCAAGAAGACATTTTCACCAACTTTAAAATTTAGGTCTTTTCTTCGATTGTCTACATAACTCTTTTGTCAACTGCGAGAATTGTTCGCTCCATGATTTCTGGACCTAAAATTCTCTTTTCGCCAACTTCATCCTAATGAATCTATGATCTACATTTTCTACTATAGAGAGCCTTGTATGATACCATACCAATGGTAGACTAAAACCTATTGTTATAGGCAAACTCTACCAAAGACAATTATGACTTCCAACTTCCTCCTAGGTCTAATGCACAAGCATGCAACATATCTTCAAATATTTGAATAGATCTTTTGGATTGACCATCTAATTGAAGGTGATAAGCTGCACTACAATTCAATTTTGTTCCCACAGCTCCTTGTAAGCTCTTCCAAAAATTAGATGTAAATCTTGGATCTCTATCAAACACAATGGAGATGGGAACACCATGCAATCTTACAGTCTGTCTGTATAACCGTGCTAATGACCTAGACTGAATGTCATTTTTACCAGAAGAAAATGAGTTAACTTTATTAGATGATCTACTATTACCCGTATAGCTTTATTTCCTCTTACTGACTTCGAAATCCTACCACAAAGTCCATTGTGATATTCTCCCACTTCCATTCAGGTATGTCCAATGGATTTAACAATCATATCGATCTTTGATGTTAAACTTTAAATTATGGACACACTATGCATTTTACCACAAATAGGCCTATATTTCTTTTCATATTCCTCTACCAAAATATATTCCAAAGGTCTCGATATATTTTCATACCACCGGGATGTTCAGTGTATGGGGTGAAATGAGCCTCTTCCAATATCTCCTTCCTCAAAACTTCACTTTTAGACATACAAATTTTTCCTTTAAACATCAGTGCTCGATCCAAAAATATTCAAAAATCATTTCTCTTATCAGTACCAATTTCGTTCTTGATCATCTGCAAGAATGAGTCTTTACCTTGTACTTCGATGATCCTATCTCTAAGAGTAGGTCGAACAACCAAAGTTGCCAAATAGGCAGTGACTTGCGATGTTGTCGTAACCATTTTGATTTGTAGATTTTGATCAACTCCATTTAAGTAGTAGGTAATGATACCTACTGTCCCATTGACTTCTTACTCAGAGTATCGACAACAATATTAACCTTACCAGGATAGTAATGAATAGTACAATCATAATCATTTACTAACTCCAACCATCGTCTTTCTCATATTCAATTCCTTTTGTGTGAATAAATATTTGAGACTATTATGATCCGTGTAAATGTTGCACTTTCCTCTATATAAGTAATGGCGCCATATCTTTAATGCATAAACTACCACCACAAGTTCTAGATCATGTGTCTGGTAATTCTGCACATGTTCTTTCAATTGCGTTGACACATAGGCAATCATCTTTCTGTACTGCATTAGTACATATCCCAAACCTTGTTTGGATGCATCACTAGATACAACAAACCCTTCCGAACCTTTAAATATAGGTAACACGAGTGCTGTAATCAATCTTTTCTTTAGCTCCTCAAAACTCTGATTTATCTATCCATTAAAACTTACTCCTCCCGTTGTCAATTGTGTCATTGGTCCAATTATTTTGGAAAATCCTTCAATAAATCTTTAATAGTACGTGGCCAATCCTGGAAAACTTCTAACTTCACCATTGTTAATCGGTGTATTCAAATTAGTTAACGCTTCCAGTTTTACTAGTTCTACTTCAATTCCCTGGGCAATAACTACATGATTGAGAAATCCAATTCGCTCAAACCAAAATTCACCCTTCTAAATTTGACATATTATTTTTCCTTATGCAGCATTCCTAACACTATTCTAAGATGTTCTTTATGTTAATCTTTACTCTTAGAGTATATCAAAATATCATTAATGAAGACTATGACGAGTATAACATGAAATACACAATCCAAATGCTGATGAAATAAATCTTGGGTATCCTTAAATAAATCTTTACCGATCCAAATATTGATGAAATACACGATTCATTAAATCCATGAATACTACTAGGGTATTTGCCAAGCTGAATGATATAATATGGACTCATAATGTCCATAACGAGTCCTGGAAGTCGTCTTGGGTATATTTCTTTCCTTAACACTCAATTGATGATATCCAGATCATAAGTCGATCTTGAAAATACCTTAGCCCCTTTTAATTGATCAAACAAATCTCAATTCCCAAGAAGGGATATCTTTTCTTGAAGGTCAAATTGTTCAACTCTTGATAGTCGATACACATCCCTGTACTTCCTTCTTTCTTCTTTACAAATAACATTGGTGCTCCCCATGTAGATACACATGGTCAAATATAACAATTCTTGTAACTGAATTTTCAACTCGTGAAGTTTGCCATTTTGTATGGAACTTTAGATACTGGTGCCACTTCGGGAACCAGATCCACAGTGAACTCCACCTGCCTATATAGTGGAGTACTAGGTAGGTCTTTTGGAAACACATCTATAAATTCGAGTACCACTAGTACATTCTCAATCTTTATCATCACTTATTTTCTCCTGAGACGTAAATTAGAAACCACTAATATGTTTCTTTTCTCAACATTTTCTTAGCTTGCAAGGTTGATACTAGTTAGAAATGGGTCTTGGTCTTTATTTTGAAGAAAGAAAATTGCTCTTCTCCTAATTTCTGAAAAGGCACTTCTCTTCTCTACGACGAATGGTTGGATAATTACATCCGAACAATCCATGCCCAAAATCACGTCAAAGTTTTTAATCTCTATTAGATACAAATTAGCTTATAATGTTTTTCCCTCAATTTCAAGATTCGCCGACCTAGCTAACTAATCTGTATTTAATGTTCTGCTTGAGGAAATGCTAACTTCTAGTGCATTGTCTAACTTATCACAAGTAATAGTAGATGTAGCAATCAAAGACATTGACACAAAAAAATTGACTCCTGAATCAAATAGTACATAAGCAGGTGTGTTAAATATTAATAAAATACCTGCTATTACGTTTGAGTTCTTCTCTACATCCTTTTAAGTTAGTTTAAAAACTAATGCATTCCCTTTTTGTTCTGATAATTGTTATCATCTTTCTTCTAAGTAAATATGGGACAATCCTTAGCAATACATCCCAACTTAACATATCAAAAACAAGTATTATACCCATACAAGCATTCATCATGATGAGATTTACCACACTTAGGGGACGGTGCAACTACAGCTACTATGGCTTTACTGGCACTATATCGGATATTAGCTTTCTTATTTTGTCATTTTCCTTTTCTTTTATCTTGACCATTCCACTTTCTTTTTTCAATTTGCCATTTATCATGCTGGCTGTACAATTGATTAAGTTTCTTTGCTTTAGCCTTCTAATACCAAACAACATGAGCTCGTTCTAGTATCTCACTGTATGATGTAAAATGATATAACATAAGGATCATGCTTTGGTCTGGATTTAACCCTCCTTCAAATATTCTTGATTTTTGTGTCAACTAGGTATGGAGCATACCTCATGAGTTGATCGAACTTTTGCTCGTAATCAATCAGGGACATATTATCCTATTTGAGCTAAAGAAATTCAGTTTTCTTGAAATCTCTTAAAGACTGAGGAAAATACTTGTCCATCACGTCCTCCTTGAATTGTTCCCAAGTTAATGCCAATTGTTGCTCTGGGGTCCTAGTTTGAGACATTGAATCCCACCATGACTTGCATTACTGATAAATATAAACTCCGCATACTAGACCTTTTGGGCGTCAGTACAGTCTATGAATCGGAAAAATCGTTCTTACTTACAAAGCCATTCTTCAACCATTAGTGGACTACATGCTCTGTCGAAGGTAGGAGACTTATGCTTTCGAAATAACTCAACTACAAGGCATGGCTTAGGAGAGTTATAAGAGCTGGTAATGTAGGTATAGCTTGATTTTAATTCATCCTACTAAGATCTTGAACCACTTGCAGGATGTCCCTTATCAAGTTGTTCTAGTTTGCTCGAGATATTTTCCTTGAAATAAGAAATAGTATCTTTTATTAAATTTGTTCACCAATATCAGAGTACTTGAAATGAAAGGGCAAATTGAAATAATTCATGACTATATCACATGATTGACTTTTTTCAAATGAAAGAGAAATCTCCATATTTTCTTCTGATTTCACTCTTGATCTTCTTCTGGGTCCTCCTCTAGATCTTCTTCTTCATCTTTATTACTATTTTTTATAACTAGTTGTGCAATTTCGTCTTTTGAAATGATTGTTAATTCAGATGCTGAGTGGGATATAACAACACCAATTATAGTCTCCCAATTATGGATATAGACATTACAAAAATCCTCAAAGTCAAGTTCCTTAAGTTCACTTTCCAAAATTTGAGATAGCATATTTTCTCGTATAAGCTTTCCAATAAGTCTTTCACGAGATGTGAGAGTTTCTAGCAAATGACCTATTGCTTATCGGTCACTAATCTTGTAACTTTTATTCTTTGTTTTTAGCCAATGTTAGTACACGCTTCTTATATGATTGTCAAGGTCTAAAAATTCGTCTACCTCAAATGGAAGGTAAAGTCGAATAACTATCTCTTGTTAACTACCATGATTCTTTCTCCTAATATTTACTCTTTCCTAACCATCTGTCATTTATAACTTTAATTTCTTGCCCAATACATGTCTTTTAAACAACAAATTTTCTTTTTAATTCATATTTATCTTTGCACATAATATATACATAAAAAATGTAGAATGTACCGTAACATGAAAAAAAATAACAATAGAATCATAACACTTTTCATAATAAGAATTTTAACTTTGTTTAGTTAACATACCTGGGTCATAGGATGAGGTCAACTAACGGATGCAATATACCATATAGTGCAGTGATACTTCATTTTTCTTATTTTAAATTATCTACTCTGTACTTAAAATACATACGTATATTTTTTAAAAAAAAAACTACGAGTCTACATAATCGATTGAACTCATGCTACGATACCATGCTGAAGAGCCCCGACTCAAATAGACCGAGACGTCACTAGAATAATTGTACCTTAGTCGTAGACTAGTAATTAACTATAAAGATTTAATTTAAGAACTTATTTAATAATTTATTTTTTAACAATAAATTTCTTTATGCATATTACCTATTTTGTTACATGGACCAAGGCATATATCTGTTTACCAAATAAATAAAAGGTTTAAAATAAATTTTCTATATATGCACGTCTTTAAACTGCAAATAAAACTAAGCTTTTTTTATTTTTCTATTTAGCATGGCAAGTGAGTGCCAAAAAAAATTCGTTTACGTAGTTATCAATCTCGAAGCTTCATAAAATTTTAAGTAAATGTAAGAAACTTCTTATTATATAACATATCAAGAAATTGGCTTCTTTTCACAACATCTAAGGCACTAAAATATTTCTCAAAATCTCGCAGCGACTCGGTTTGGAAGATAAACCACGCAGTTTACCTAAAAATAACATACAAAATTCTACGGACATTGAATTGATAAGTTTTCAAGTTTATTCAGTAGCTAACCATGAATCTATTAAGCCTAACTGGTTTGTCCAAGAATTCCAAGTAATGATTTAGTTAAAAAATTTAAAAGTCGAGGGCAGAAACTGAAATTCTAAAAATGGCAACACTAAATTTTATTGCTTACATTTTTGACAAGAACGGAAACTTGTACGTTAATTTCTATAAAACATAACTACTTTTAAACATTAATAATTCATAAAAATCTTCTTAGAATATTATCACAAATTACATCTATTTACCTAAAGAAAAATACGTAAACGTCACATAATCGAATTAAAATATTATGTCACCAGATTCTCCATAGCACATTGCATCTTCATTGACCATCATCCACGCCCAAGCAAATTAAATCAACCTGTAGGAAGGAAATTAACCCATGAGTTTGAAACTCAATAGATATCATTAGTGCATTTCGTTGTCAAATTAGAAAATTCGAACTATAAATCCATACTGTCGCATGTAGATGGATTTTCGATAAAGTCCAATTTCTATAGAGTTATCATAACATGTAGAGTCAGAGAATGATCACTTAAACTATAGTGATGCCACAGCACCATACCCAAAGGTACCAATTCATTCATACTTTTAACCAAAATCATAAGTTGAAAACGAAATAACCAATTGCACCTCTACCTATATTGATTTTCTTGAATATAAAGAACAAAATGTGTAAAAATCCTTTCTCCTTCACACCCTTTCTATTCCCTTAAACTTGACTTGATATAAAAGATATTTTTGAGAGAAAATAAAAGTAAATTCTGATTTGAGAAAAGGTGTAGTGAAAAATTGACTTCCATCTTCTTGTGACCTCCATTTTTAGTGAAAAACTAAATAGGAGAGTTATATTATTAGTAACCTTATTAAATTGAGTATTTAACTAAGAATTTAAAAATTTTTATTCCCATAAAAAAATTCATATAAAAATTTTAATAAAACATTTCCATAACGAAAAAATAAAGAAAAATAAACTGCTCATATGTTTTGTAACCTCTCTTTAGCAAACATTTGATTTGGAAAATTTCTGCTTCTAGAAGAATTATATTTCTTTGAGTCATCTTTCCAATGCATTTAAAATTACCTCAATCGAATATCTGGAGAAAAAGTTATGGTCAAAATATCGTAGGTTGATTAGGGACGACATTAGGCAAATCAGAGCATG